CTCTCAACCACTGCGCCACCAGGGAAGCCCCGACACTGCATCTTATAAAGCTCTTTCCTGTTCAGAAATTCAGAGGCCGTTGCCCAACTCATAACTTTTTAAGGGAAGAAAATGTCAACATGTCAGCTGACAGTATTCATTTGTTCAAAGAAATGGTTTTTGGTTGATAAAATTGTACTAAGCCTTGTGCCAAAGGACAAGAAAGCTTGGCCTCTGCCCTCTAGGAACTCCTGGTTATGGAGGGCGGGGAGCCACATAAACAACGACCACAGTGTCCCAAGGGGGTCCATGGGGTTCTTGGAGAGTCACATGGAAAGTGAACAGCAGGCACGTGCGACTGTGGCTTTGGGTCTTGGAAAATCTCTAAGAAGTCCATCCAGGTGGAGATATGTCTCATGAGCAGTTGAAAATAGGGTTTGGGAGTCTTAATGTGTACAAGGTAACAGACGCTGTGGACCCACTGGCCCGGGAGTCCGTGTAGCAGAGAAGAAACAAGAGCTAAAGACAGCATAACATTTCAGAGGTTGGTTTATTATATTCTCGTTTCCTCCCAGTCTTGTGTCCCTGTTTAGAGAACACAGCTTTATTTTCTGCATTAAGTACAGTATATGAGGACACACCTTAGCCCCCCAGTAGGCAAAAAAAGGGGCAATATTCTAATCTGGCAAGTCTGAGTATCTTAAGTCTGGCCCTAAGCCAAGGTAGCACGACAGACTAAGGGGAGGGATGCTCCCTTCCTAACTTGGAAATTTGTAAACGGAAGGTAGTGGGGAATTAGGTGATCTGTGCCTTAAGCAAAAACCCCACGACGACCACCTCCCCTCACACATGTGCACACACACTCATAGGCAGGATTCTAGAGTAGAAAAAGAAATTCAAGATCAAAAATATTACCAAAATACCAATTCCTTTTCAGTGTGCAACAAGCCTTTATTCATCCACTTAGCAAACATCCCCGTATGTTTGAGAATTCGTTCCGGCATCAGCACCTCTTGGAAATGCTTTTTGATGCTCCCACGGACTGACTGAGGAGCCATTTCTTGGTGCTGCCGTAACAGCTTCTCATTACAGAGTCCGGATCAGGACCCTCTTCCTATCTGCTCCCGTAAACTCTGGGCCTCTGGATGTAGGGACCCCGCCTTGTTCAAAGGTGCTCAGTAGATAATTGTTGAATGAATACAGTAGTCCCCACTTATCGGCGTTTTCAGTTACCCATGGGCAACCGCTGTCCAAAAATATTAAATGGAAAACTTCAGAAATAAACAACTTATAAGTTTCAAATTGCGTGCCATTTTTTTTTTTTTTTTTTTCGGTACGCGGGCCTCTCACTGTTGTGGCCTCTCCCGTTGTGGAGCACAGGCTCCGGACGCGCAGGCTCAGCGGCCATGGCTCACGGGCCCAGCCGCTCCGCGGCATGTGGTATCTTCCCAGACCGGGGCACGAACCTGTGTCCCCGGCATTGGCAGGCGGACTCTTAACCACTGAGCCACCAGGGAAGCCCCCGTGCCATTTTTTTAAAAAAAATAAATTTATTTAATTTTGGCTGAATTGGGTCTTCATTGCTGTGCCCGTGCTTTCTTTAGTTGCGGCGCACGGGGGCTACTCTTTGTGGCGGTGCACGGGCTCTAGCCACACGGGCTTCAGTAGTTGTGGCGCACGGGCTTAGTTGCTCCGCGGCATGTGGGATCTTCCCGGACCAGGGCTCGAACCCGTGTCCCCTGCATCGGCAGGCGGACTCTCAACCGCTGCGCCACCAGGGAAGCCCCCAGGTTGTGTGCCATTTTGAGCAGAGTGATGAAACCTCTCACTGTCCCACTCTGTCCTGCCCGGGACACACATCATTCCTTTGTCCAGCGTATTTCACCTGATAGGCACTTAGTAGCCCTCTAAGTTAGATCGACTGTCTTGCTACCACAGCGCTTTGCGTTCAAGTAACTTTTATTTTACTCAAAATCGCCCCCAAAGTACCAGAGAAGTGATGTTGGCAATTCGGATCTGCCACAGAGAAGCCGTAACGTGCTTCCTTTAAGGGAAAAGGTGAAAGTGCTCAACTTCAAAAGGAAAGAAAGGGAATTCCCTGGTGGTCCAATGGTTAGAACTCCGAGCTTTTGCTGCGGAGGGCCCCGTTCCATCCCTGGTCAGGGAACTAAGATCCCACAAGCCACACAGCCAAAAAACAAACAAACAAACAAAAAACATCAAACGGTCTAAGAACAAATCTATCCAGGAGACTGTGAAGAAGGAAAAACATTTGTGCCAGCTTTGCTGTCACACCTCAAACTGCAAAAGTTACAGCCACAGGGACTTCCCTGGTGGTGCAGTGGTTGAGAATCCGCCTGCCAACGCAGGGGACACGGGTTCGAGCTCTGGTCTGATCCCACATGCCGCGGAGCAACTAAGCCAGTGCGCCACGACTACTGAGCCTGTTCTCTAGAGCCTGAGAGCCACAACTACTGAGCCCGCATGCCACAACTACTGAGGCCCTCGCTCCTGGAGCTGGTGCTCCGCAACAAGAGAAGCCACTGCAGTGAGAAGCCCGCGCGCCGCAATGAACAGTAACCCCCGCTCACCACAACTAGAGAAAGCCCGTGAGCAGCAACGAAGACCCAACGCAGCCAAAAATATAAATAAATTTATTTTAAAAATAATAAATTAAAAAAAGAGAGTAATTGGAAACTTTCCTTACTAGATAGTAAAACAGAAGTCTCTAAAGAATTAAAACTCTGATCGTGGCAATTAGGCTAGATAAACAGATCAATGGAACAAGCTAGACGGCCCTCCTTACCAGCTGGCATGGCCTGCACTTGTCTCTCCCAGAACTCTGTGGTCCCCACCAAACCCAGCCCGGAGGAAGCCGGGCCAGTGAGCTTGTCTAAAGGTGATGCTCTCAACCCCCTGGGTCTCTTGAGGAGCTGAATCTGGGGATGGCAAGGGAGCCCACGCAATCCCTCGTGGTTCCCTTTCTTAGCCCATGTTTCTCCTCCAACAGTGCCTCCTTCCCCAAGCACAACCCTACCCCCATTTCTAATCAATCCCCCTCCATCTCTGGAAGGCAGCATGGCAGGGAAGCCTGGCTGGGAGCCAAGAGTCCAAGAGCCTGGTTCCAGCTCTGCGAACAATTTTCTGTGTGACATTAGACAAAGCCCTTGCCCCTCTAGGCCAGTCTTCCCAACTATAGTGTGATAAGAATCCTTTCTGCCCTACTAACCACATGCTACTGTGCCAAGAGGGAAAAAGGATTTTAAAAAAAACTGGCAGAATTCCTTTTAGAAATTTAACTGCCTTTATTAGGAAAAACTGATGCCAGTTTGGGACTAAAAGGAAATTCCCCACACCACAAAGTTACGTCCAAAATAGATGGGCAGTGGTTGGCAAACTTGGCTACACATTAGAATCATCTGGGGAGCTTTTATTTATTATTTATTTATTTATTTATTTAATGTGGTTTTTTTCAAATTTTTTTTTTAATTTTTTTGGCTGTGTTGGGTCTCCGTTGCTGCGCACGGGCTTCCTCTTGTTGCAGTGAACTGGGCTGCTCTTGGTTCCAGCACGTGGGTTTCTCTTTGCGGTGGCTTCTCTTGTTGCAGAGCACAGGCATGGGCTTCAGTAGTTGTGGCACATGGGCTCAGAAGTTGTGGCTCGCGGGCTCCAGAGCGTTGGCTCAGTAGTTGTGGTGCACAGGCTTAGTTGCTCCACGGCATGTGGGATCTTCCCGGACCAGGGCTCAAACCCATGTCCTGGTTAGATGCTGTTTCCTCTTCTGGAGCACCAAGAAAGACTACATTTCCCAGCTTCATTTGCAGTAATCCAGGGCCCCGTGACTAGGGAGACAGGATCCCTGAATCACTGCAAGGAGTGCCACCCAATCTCCATCAGTTGTGTTGTGAGAAAGAAATGAATAATAAAGTTGTTCAGTTGCTAAGATGTTATTCAGTTGTTCAGTTGCTAAGCTCTTAGCCTTTCCTGAACTTTGGATTTAATTGTTCTGGATTGGGGTCCAGGCAATTGTATTTTTTAACCCCACAGGCAATTTTAATGTGAGACCAGGGTTGAGAACCACTGGATTAGGACAGAATTACAAGTGTGGAGTTGCTAGGTATAGTAAAGAAATATTGAGTTTCCTGGGGTGCCCCAGGAGATGGGGAGAAAGTTGTCCAGAAATGAGAGAAAAAAGCAGGAGAGGGCCCAGAAACACGGAGGGAAGCAGGGGGACCCAAGAAGAAAAAGTTGGCCAGGAAAACATTCTACGTGCTGGGAATGGTCAAGGGACATTTCAGAATCGGGTGTTTAATATTCAGGTCTAAATTCTCATCAGGGCTGTCAGGTGGGTGATATAGGCCCCTATGGCTGCCTCCAAATCACCAGTCAAATTAGCTCCACACTCGTCCCTGTGTGAACGGATGCTTGCGGGGAAGTCAAAGGAAAGGGGGCCAGTTCCACACCTGGTCATCACAGGGAGAAGGGAACAGCCAAAGCCCCCTCTTGAGAATCCTCAGTGAGCATTCTGGGCTCCCCTGAGGAACTCAGGTGGGAAGGAAGGCTGACCCCTCAACCACACACCCATAGTGACATCGGGGTGACATTTCAACCAGCTCTCTATGGCCCTTGTTGTTAAGCACCTAGAATCAATCCTAGCATTAGTCCTGGGAGAGGCCATGACACTTTACAGAGGATGAATTTGAGGGCCAGAGAAGCAGAGCAACCTGCCTAAGGCCACACAGCAAGTTCCAGGTGAAGCTGAGTGGATTAGCCATGGGGTCCCTGAGTCCCCTGGTCCCCGTGGATGCTCACAGACTCCTCGATACAAGCATTTAGCAAGAGCATCTTCTGGGGGTGGGGAGTGCGGAGTGGCGAGATGGGAAATTTCAGAAGACATCACAGAATGCAAGACATGTCACTCCAGCTTCCATTCCAGAATCATCTATGCTGTGCTCCCCTCTCTCAACCTTTCCCAAAGCCATCCACCCGACCCCAGTGAAAGACAAACAGAGCCCAGAAGCTTTGCTTTCACATTTAATCAAAGGAAAAGAAAGCCAATCAGAGAGAAAGCTCAAGAACTGGATGGCTGAGAGAGGGGACGGGAGAAGCACATCTGGGCTGGGACTGAGTGTGGACAGGGCGGCAGGGTCCTATAATCCTGAGGTTCCTCAATACAAGTGTCCACAGTGGGAAGAGGGAGGCTGGAGCCTGAGGGCTAACGCGGTGGGCACACACACCCATTCCAACCCAGTACGGGTCCCTGGAGTACGGCTAAGGCAGGGGAGGTAGAATGCTGTTCAGAGAGGAATAGAGACGGGGAGGGAGGGGCCCAACCCACAGGCATCACCAGAAGTGAAGGTGCCAGACAGTAACTGGAGCTTCACCCTCAAGGGCCATGTGCCAACCCTTCAGCAAGGTGCCCAGCCCCACCTCCCATCAAAGAGAATGGTCTTCTAATCAGAGTGCTTTGGAGGTTAACCAAGGGGGAGGGGGTAGCTGCCTCTATCCCCAAGTCTCCTGGGTGACGTGGGTATGAACAAAGAACCCCATGGCCCTGGGCCAGCGCGAGAACACCCCGTTCTCCTCCCACTCCCAGTCCCCTTGGGTTGAGGGTGAGGGTGAAGCAAGAGAGAGCTGAATTGAGGATAAATTAAAAGACCACTGACTAAAGGGAAAAGAGGAACATAAAGCTGACTGCATAGTGGATGCAGAGCTATGCAAATGAGATGGAAGTAGACTTGACCTTTACATCTCATTTGCATATCCTAGGCAAATGCAAATGAGATCCCTAATATAATAAATATATTTCTGACTTTGTAATAAATATTCTGTCTCCTCTCCCTCCCCTTCCCTAGGAAATGGGCACACAGTGGTTCAGGGGCCAGCGTGGCTGACATTGCAGCAAGGACTGATTAGACAGAAGAACTGGGGAGCACACAGGCTGGGGGTGGGGTCATGGGGGGGGTCCCCTACAAGGACAGGTTCACCCCAGGAAGGGTCACAGGGATGTCTGGGGAAGTCAAGGACAGCAGACTTTTTAAAAAAGGGATTCTCCTATTTTACACAGCTGCCCTCCTCAAGGACTGGAGGGTGGCATTTAGGGTCGGGGGACAACAGGAGAGTGGAGGGAGACATCTGGGGAAGGCCGAGCCTCTGGAATCTGGGATAAGGGTCTCATAAGAAATGGGGGGCTGATGGGGAGCCCGAAAACGGGGCCCCAAAGAGTGACCTCCAAAGCTCAACAACCCTTTGCTTCCCCTCCCCAAAAACTAAGCCTGACACACACGCCAGTGGCAGAAACACAGACCAGGCACTGCAGCCTGCTGAACCATAAGCTGTGGGGACCCCAGTGTGGATGGCGCCCCATGGAGGTGTGCGGGGAGTCTGCTGGGGTGCAAACATCCTCCAAGGCCATGCCCCGTGGCCCAGCCCTCCCCTTTCCCCAGCCCCCAGGCCGCCTTCATGTGAGTGGGCACCTGGACCCGGCCACAGAGACCAAAATGGACACTGACCACGGACAGGGAGCCCAGACACGTCCCCACCACAGGCCACGGAGGGCTGGGAGCTTCCTGTCAGGCTCCTCGTCACAGGGCTCGGCCTCCAGCCCACCCCTGCCTGGGCTGAGCCCGCAGCCCCTGCCGCCCTTGACCTGCGGGGAGCAGAGCTGGCCTGTCAGGGGCACATCGGAGAAGTCTGTGGAGAGACTTCGGCAGTGAAAAGCTGTGCGTGAGGGAAGGACGTGAGCCAGCCCCGTTCTGAGGGGGCAGAGAACTGCGCTGCTCCCTGGCTGCGGCAACTGGCTAGTGTTTCGGCTCCTCCAGCCTTCGGGATGGCACCAGGCTGGCACCGCACCTGGGCTTGCCTAGCTGCCAGGGGGCCACGTAGCCCTCTGGCCACAGGGAACCAGCCTAAGGCCTGCTCCTAGGCTGCAGGGGCGAGAAGTAGGAGCAGCCCAGGAGTGGGGTCAGGGTGGCCAGTCCAGAGGAGAAAAACTGACTGGCGAGAGGGATGGGGGCAGTGTACCTACTGACCACGTGGTCCCAAAGCAGCTTTTCTCTTCTCTGGACTGAGCATTATGGAGGCGACTCCGACACTCCGGGGCACGGCTCGGCCCTCAGCGAGGGACATCTGGTGGCCAATGAACGTCGGGAGTGGGTAGCACCTGGGCACAGACGTGCCCCACGAACACCCACCTCCCTGGCAGTGCACGCCTCCTGCGCTGAAGCCAGACTTAGGGCCATGACCCAGGGAGAGCCAGAGCGCCGGGAACGGGAGCTGAAGATCATGGCTGGGGCTCACGGTTGGGAAAGGGACGGATTCAGGGTTCTGGGTCCCACTCCAGAGGGCCGAGGTCCAGGAGAACAGGCTCAGTACACCCAGCTGACGGGCACCCACTGGGGCTCCGTGCGCAGCTTCTCCAGGGCGGCCTGGAGTTCACGGAAGGTCCTCTCCAGGTTCCTATTGACCAGACTGAGGTCGAAGTAATGCCCGTAGCCCCTCTGGATACGGCTGCTCTCCTCCACTGTCCGTCTCAGGTCCGCCTCCTGCCAGCACAAGGGGACCTCCCGTCCATCAGTATCCGCCTGGCACCCCCAGCGTCAGGGGGACCCACAGCCTGCCCCGTCTAACCCCCTCCCCAAAGCCCAAAGTACCAACCATGGCAGGCACAGACCCCCTGGCTGGGGAGGCAGCAGCCCCTCCCTGCATGCCCCAAGGCAGCTCTCCTGTAACCGTGGACAGACAGATGGGTGGTGGGAAGGGAGGAAGGAAATAACCTTTAGGAAGTGCCAAGCACTGCACTAAACAACCAGCGTAATCTTCACTACAGCTCTGCAAGCAGGACTAATTATTCTCATTTACAACAGAGAAAACAGACGTACAAAGAGGCCACACAGCCAGCCAATGGCTGAACGGGGTCTGCCTGACTCCAAAGCCAGCGCCCCCTTCAGTCTAACTAGGCCCCCGTACCTAGACAGCCTGAAAGCAATTGCCACGCCTGGTCCTAGGGCCACCCACAAGGGCCCGAGGCAACCCCCTCTCCAGACACAGCCCAAGCTGGACCGGCAAGGGTGGGAAGGGAATACTGACTTACAGAAGCCGAGGCAGGAGCTCTAGGACTGACCCAGCTGTGTCCCGGGGGCTCCAGTAGGCTCTGTTTGTGGCCAGAGCAGGCTGCAGCAGTGGGGAGCCCAGCCCGGACCTTTCTCCTGGGTCTGAGCCCCTGACCGGGGCCTGAGAGCTGCAGTACCAAAAGTGGCCAGCAGAGGGACCCCTGAGTTCAGAGCTCTGCAAACCGTACACCTGCTGGGGAAGGCTGTTCCAAGGGGTCCCTGGCGGGAGAAGGGTGCCCTGGAGTCCTGCAACACCTGCCTTGAAGCCTCTCCTCCCTGCACTGCCTCCTCCCTGATGCTAACTGGTCCCTCCAGGCAGCCTTCCAGCCTCCGGCCTCCTCCCTCCCTTCAGCCTTACCCCCAGCTGTAAACAGCCCACCTCTGCCCACAAATCGCCCACCGGCCCTCTGGGCTCCCCTGGAGCCCTGTTCCCACAGAATGGACTGAGCAGGGGGCCTGGCAGAAGCTCCCGTGCCCTGGGCCAGCTGTGTCCCTGACTCTACACTTCACTTCCTCGCTCAGACCTCCATTCCCACACCTATAAAGTGGCATTCGCAAGTCTAACCTCAGTGGTACCTCAGGTGGGCGCCTCTCCCCTTCCCGACACCACCTTCTTCTCTTCCTCGGCTCTGGCTGGCCCCCCACACCACCCCAATCAGCCATTAGACCCCCCCCACCACACCTTAGAGGCCCTCACCGTGAGCTGCTTGGTGGACAACCCACTCTCCAGCGCCGTCCGGTTCATGGCTCGCAGGGTCTCAAAGTCAGGGGCCTCAATGAATACCACATAAGGGACAAACTCAGCTGTTCTCAGGACCTTCACTGCCTGCAGAAGAGGAGGGTCAGGAGTTTATCCCCATGTACATCTGGGGTGATGGGGCTGAGAACAGGTACCTGGGAATAGATGAGAATGTGGACCTGGGGCTCTGGGACATGAGTCCTGGGGATGAATGGCAAAATAGCTGGCAGGTGGCTAGGGATGGGGTGACTGGGGGTCCAGGAGGCTGAGAAAGAGGTTCTAGGTGGGCTGGGTCCCTAGCAGTAGTTGAGGGGTTATAGGGGGGTACTTGGAAATATATGGGGTAATACTGGGGGGCAAGCAGAGTACCCAGAGAGGTATTGAGCAGGCTGGGAAGGAGCAGGCCAGGCAGTACCTGGGGGTTGACATCCAGCACACACACCCGGCCGGCAGCGACCACGCCCCGGATGGAGTCGATACGTGTGCCATACAGGTTGCCCTCGTATTCACCATGTTCCAGGTATCGCCCAGCACGGATGTCAGCCTCCATCTCCGCACGGGACACAAAGCTGTAACCCTGGCCTTCCCGTTCTGAGTCCTTGGGCCTCCGGGACGTGTCTAGGGGGAAGGAGGGGCCGAATGGGCACAGGCAGGCCACACCACCTCAGACACACGTGCTCGTGCTCTACTTGCACCAAGCAGCCCTGCTGCCTTCCCGCACACCTTGCCCTCGCCCTCACCATTGGCACCCACAGACTCGAGACGTCCATACTGAGGGGACCTTCAGAAATCACTGTTGTAACCCAGTGCTTACAGATGGAGGCTGAAGCCCAGAGAGGGCAATATGCAGCCCAAAGCCACACAGCAAGGCCAAGCAGACCTGGGGTCAGCACTCAGGTTCCTGCCTCTGGTTCTGTCACCAGAAGCCCTCTTTTCCACAAGGCCACACACAGCTCATAGCCCTGTTTCACATGGGTTCCCAGCTGGGCTTTTAGCAAGTGAAACATGAGAGAAGGAAAGGTAAGGCTAGCACCACCCACGTGGCCAATGGTTCCTCGCCCTCCCCAGCCTGCAGTTCCCAAATCTACCCACAGGGGGCGCGCACCACACACCTCACACCCAAAGGTATTACTTAACCTGGGGCCTACGCAGATGCCCATTCAGTGGACCCAGCCTTGGCCCCCAGGGCAGCCCCTGCTCCCTGCCTCCCACCCGGCAGGACCCAGCCCCCACTCACAGGGCACTGTGGTGCCATAGCGATCCGGATCCCACATGATGAGTTTGTTCTTCAGGCTGCGCCGGCCCACACCCTGAGCCCCGATCAGCACCAGGGTTTTCCGGCGGAAGGGGGGCATGCGGGCCACCTCCTCATAAATGAGCAACTCATGGCGGTCAAACTCTGGACACAGGGAGATGTCACTGCTCATCAGGTGAAGGGGGTGGGGCTGGGCTCTCAGGGAGGCCAAGGATAAGAGGGCTGGGGCCGAGGGCAGGAGGGAAAAACAGGGCAGGGCTTAGGGACAGGACTGGCAGCATCAGAACCAGGAGATGCACAAGTCATTGGTGGGGGACGGAGGGAGCACTGAAGGAGGATGGGGGAAGGGGGCCCCCAACACCCACCTGCATTCTTGGTGGTCAAATACATCATTCGCTTCTTTTTCTTTCCTGAAATGCTGCCGCACAGGGTCCCTGGCCATAAGGAGATGAGCAAGTGAGGCCAGGCAGGGCCACATCAGGTCCCAGATTAGAGGTCTGGGGGCAGGACTGTACCTGAGGTGGGTGTCAGCTCCAGGTCCCGCTTGACAAAGGCTTTCCTCTTCTCCTCCAGGAGCTGACTGGGGATGAGCCCAGCGCTGCCCCCTTCTACGTGGCACGCCTGAAATGACCGTGGGACAAAGATGTGCCTGAGTAAGCCCTCACTGCCTGCCGACACCATACCTGGAGAGACAGCATGGGTGCCCAGGGCTTACCTGCCACCAGTTGGCGTCGTCCTGGTTTACAATCTGAAGCAGGTCCCCAGCATTGAAGCGTAGGCCAGCTTCCTTGCAGGGGATAAGGCTGTCTCTGGCTGGGTCATAGTCAAAGTGGCATTTCACAAATACCTGGGCCAGGGATTTGGCAAAGGGTCAAGGGAAGAAGCAGGGGAAGGCTGGAGGGGGCGATGCCCATTCCTGTTGCCACCCCTACCCCGAGGGTGGGGGGATGGGAGTGTCACACAGTTCACCTTCTGCCCTCTCCCCTCACAAAGATGAAAGAGACCCTGGCACTGCCCACTTAAAGGCATGATGCCGCAGGCCTGCCTGGTCCACCTCCCTGGTACCAGCCTCCCTTTGCATCCAGAACAAAAGGACTCAGAAGGATGGGGGGTCTGCTCAGGCCTGGGGCCCTGGCCCTACCCACCAGGAAGGTGGGATCATCTGGTAAGGAACACGATCCTGGCACCTAATGCAAGATCCCTCCATCCCCCTACACCCTCCCTCGGAGGAGAGGGCTCTGGCAAAAGGCTAGACAGCCAATAGGAGAGGTGAGCAGAGCAGCGAGACCTCCACAATCCACCAACCTGAAGGCATCTGTATAGAACACATGATAACCCAATTCTGGGCACCCGTGCCTACACGCAGGCACACGGAGGGCTGCGCACGATGCAGGAATTCATTTGTACACTCAGGTACTCCAGGCTTTAGATGCGCACACATCCCTTACACGTGCGTGTGAGTGCCCAAGACTGGCAAACGCGTGGCCGCATTCGCCAGATGCCTCTTGCTTTGACTACACTGGCTGGCGAGGAGGGGCTCCCATCAGGAGGCCTGTGACCCTGGCCGCCGGGAAGCTCAGCCACCCCTTGGGCCTTGTGCTGGGCGAGGGGCTTGGTGGAGGGGCCCACCTGGCGGGGCAGATGGGGCTCTTGGTAGCTGGGCAGGATTTTGAGGATAACGCTGCCGCTGGCGTTGCGCAGGAGCTCCTGCAGCGCGCGGGGGTCGCTGCCCACCGGCTGCCCGTTCACCTCCTTGATGATGTCGCCCACGTGTAGTAGGCCTTGCTGAGCCACCATGCCCCCGTGCAGAATGCGTGCGATCACCAACTCGCCACCCTCCACGCGGAATGTCACGCCCTGGGGGACGGAGGGCGGGTATGATGAGGCGCCAACTGCTCAAGTCAGAATCTTCAAATGGGTCTCTTAAGAGCCCCTCCATTCTACCCTTCCACCCCCGCCCTCACAGCGACCTTCTCTGCCATCTTCTGCCCAAATTCTTTACTTACAGGGGCACCAGTGGACTGAAAGTGGGCAGAATGGGGAGAGTCACAATGTCTGCGGTCTCCTGGGTGTGCTGGCGCCCGACCCTGGGCAGGGCTGATCCCGTCTTCATCTTCAGCCCTCTCCTGATCAGACTTGATCCCCGCCGGTTACTCTCAACCCCCCCTCCCGAGATTCCACCGCTGGTGCTGCCCAGCGCTCTCACCAGATGCTCTCCAGCCGTCTTGCGGACGCCCACCATGCGCACTGCATCAGGAGGCACGGGCTGGTTGCTGAACGTGGGGTCCAGGCCAGGGCTGGGGGGCGGTGTCTCATAGGTCTTTGAGGCCACAGAGTCGTGCGTCTCCAGGAGGGACTGGGGAGGTGGGGGGAAGAGGAGGGACCATGGGGCAGTGTCCCGAGGTCCCGTCCCACCCCAGTTCTAACTTCCTGCCGGCGCCACCCCCCCAGCAGCCCAGGAGAGGACCAAACCTGGAAGTGGGGCTCCTGGAGGATGCGGGCCAGCTCAGCCGCCGCGCTGCTCTGCTCGGCGAGCCGCGCCAGGTCCCGCAGGATCTCCCGCACCAGCTCCAGGTTGTTGTCCCGCACGGCCTCCAGCTTCGTCTCCTCCAGCCGCTCATGGGCCTGGGGGTGGGGGCGGGACAGGTGAAACTTGACGCTTCCCCAAGAGCCCTGGGGTACCAAACAGTGCCCCCCCACCAGCTCCCAGGCATCTTCCCACCCCCAAATGCTGACTTTAGACCCCATCCACAGCACTGCTCCTGGTATCAGTCTCAGAGCCTCACTCACTCAGACACAAGCACACTCACACGTGTGCACAGGTGCCTTGCTTTCTCCTTTCTCCCCCAAAACAGTGACTGGGACTCAGTTTAGGGAAGAGAGAATCCAAAGGATAAAATTTCATTTCCATCTCTTGCCACAGACGACCATTAACATCATCAAACCCCCCAGCCTCCAGAACCCTATAAGCATCTGAGTTCAAGGACAGCTTCTTCCAACCGACATCACGGCTGGGTGGGGCCTTGGACACCCCGTAGCCCAGATTAAGGAAGCCAGGGAAGTGGAGTAGCTTGCCCAAGGTCACAGGGACTCTAACTTGGGTCTCCAAGCCTTGAGCCCAGTGCTCCCAGTGAAGAAGGGGACAAGATATCAGTACATGGTACCAGGAGAAGGTCCTGCACCTCCTTGTTGCTCTACTGACTCTGGGCTCCATGACAATGAGCATGGGCTCCATGACAAGGTGCTCTGAAAAGGGAAAAGGAAGCCTTTGCCAGTGACGAGCCCAGCGGGGAGAGTTATGTTATGTTAAGTGGGAAGAAAGGAGTCCCATTTCAGGGATATACATGCAGACTTCTTTTTCCCTCTGAATCATCTGAAAGATAGTTGCAGACAAAAAGTACTTCACCAGGCTTCCCTGGTGGCGCAGTGGTTGAGAGTCCACCTGCCGATGCAGGGGACACGGGTTCGTGCCTCGGTCCGGGAAGATCCCACATGCCGTGGAGCGGCTGGGCCCGTAAGCCATGGCCGCTGGGCCTGCGCGTCTGGAGCCTGTGCTCCGCAACGGGAGAGGCCACAACAGTGAGAGGCCCACGTACCCCCCCAAAAAAAAGTACTTCGCCTCAAAGTACTTCAGCATGAATCTCCTAAGAACAGGAGATCTGCTATATAAACTACAGTGCCATTATCACGTGCAAGAAATTCAGCACTGACACACTGATATAGTATTATCTAGTAGACAGTCCATGTCCATGTTCACTATTGTCTCAAAAATATTCTTTATAGCTTTATTTTTCTGATCTACAATGTAACCAAGATCACATGTTAAATTTGGTTGTCACATCTTTTTATTCTCCTTTAATCTAGAACAGACTCCAATGACTCTTAGTCTTTCAGGGCTTTTTTTTTTTTTTTTTCAGGTCAAGCAGGAAATACACATGTGGTTTTGTTAGATATTGACAAACTCCTCTCTATGGGGCTTGTGCCACTTTGCCATCCCACCAGCATTAGCTGAGAAACTTTCCTGAAGCCTTGCCACCAGAGTGTGTGATCAAACCTTTGAATGTCTGCCAATCACATGGATAAGAAACCATCTCTCAGTGGGGTTTGATTTGCATTTTGCTTATTATGAGTGAAACTGAGCAGCTCTTCGTATGTTTAAAGGCCATCTGTATATCTTTTTCTGTGAACTGTCTGTTCATGTCTTCTGCCAATTTTTCCATCAGATCTTGCTTCTTTCTTTTTCTCACTTTTTTAAACATTCTCTATATTAGGAAAATAAGCCCTTTATCTGTAATACGTCTTGCAAATATTTACCCCCAGTTTGTCATTTGTCGTTTGACTCAGCTTATGTTTTTTTGTCAATGCAAAAAATATATATTTAATGTAGTTAAATTTATTAACATTTTATGCATCTGAATTTTGAGGCATAGTTTTTTAAAAAGGCATTCCTTACAGACAGATCCATGTTTCCTTCTAGAATGAGTATGGCTTCTTTTCTCAATCTCTGATCTTCTTGGAAGTTTATTTTCATGTACAGTATGAGGTATGGACCTACTCTGATATCTTTCCAAATGACTATCCAGGTATCCCAATACCATTTAATAAAAATCCATAAGAAAATTATTCCTTAATTTTCTATGTGTGATAATGATAGTGTGATTTTTTTTTAAGAATCTTTATCTTTGGGCTTCCCTGGTGGCGCAGTGGTTGAGAGTCCGCCTGCCGATGCAGGGGACACGGGTTCGTGCCCCGGTCCGGGAAGATCCCACATGCCGCGGAGCAGCTGGGCCCGTGACCCATGGCCGCTGAGCCTGCGCGTCTGGAGCCTGTGCTCCGCAACGGGAGAGGCCACAACAGTGAGAGGCCCTT